TTGGGGTAAAATTGACGTCACCATTAGAAAGAGCTCGAAAAACTACATCGGATTCTGTTGTGTTTGATCAAAAGTGTATCAAGCGCCCAGCAACTATTTTTTCGAATACAAATTTTTAACAAATTTTAGTCGAATTTATATCCCGATCGGGAAATAGGTTGTTAATCTTTTATTGCTCATAATGGGATATACTCTTGATCTAATCACTCTCCACGTCGACCGTGTTTTTTTATTTCTTCCTTTTCGATGCCCACATATATTGAAACACAATTCTTTTCTCATGCGTCTACAATCTATAAATATACCTGCTTTGTGTTTAACGGGGAATTTTCTAACTATCCGTTCTTGCAGATAAATTGCCTTATGTTCTTTATAAGTGAATCACAACTTCCTGTATCTTTTAAAACGTATATCAGTCGTGAAGCCAGCATTTCTGCAGATGCCAAGAGAACATCATCATTCCAAACGTTGCGGCATTTATACTCATATTGCCTGGCACGGTAACACTCCTTTTAAACTAATTAGATTTGATGAGAAACATGTTAATGTGGAAGCTGGAGAAAACAAAAGAAACTACTTGGAACATTAGAGAGGGGAAATAATGAAGAAGGAGAAGAATATTCAGCTCGCATATAATTAAAATTTATCATTTTCTAACAAATTAAAAATTAAAATTCTTGATATCCTGATTGGGATATAGATTTTCTTGATATCCCAATTGGGATATCGAATTATATCCTGATCGGGATATAATTTCAAACTATATCTCGTTCGAGATATAAAAAAAATTTTGCTGCAAAAAATAATATCCCAATCGGGATATGTCTCCACAACTGACTGGCCAACACATAAATCCGAAATACCACTTGGACAGGTGCCCGTATTGGAAATAGATGGTTTTCAGTTACCACAAAGTGTTTCTATCGAACGTTACGTGACTAAACAAGCAAAGCTGTATAGTACCGATGATTTTGAAGCAGCTAAAACTGACAGTGTGATCGATACAATAGATGAATTACGAGATGCAAATTTGTATAAAATTATATTAAAGCAAATGGATGAAAAATTGGTGGAAAAAAGGGAGCGAAACCTGTTAGAAGAGGATGTACCGAAAGTATTTACTAAATTAGAAATTTTGATTAAAAATTATGGTTCAGATGGACGATTTTTCCTTGGTAACAAATTAACATGGGCCGATCTTTGTTGTTACGAACAGATAATACGTATTCTTAAACTGGATCCTGAAATACTAAACAAATATCCGAAGTTAGCATTAAACCATGAACATGTAGAAAAGGAACCAACGTTAGCCGAATATATAAAAACACCACCAGAAGCCTCATTTTGAAAGAAAGATGTTGTACTTGTTATGATGAAAACGAAAATGGCCTACCTCCGGAATATTGATGAAAAAACTGATAATTGTGTACAATAACGAAGATGAAAACAGTTTAATAATTGAACTTTGCAAAAACTATCATTTTTTCGGATTTTGGACGCTAGAGAAAAACTTGTGTAAAATACTCAAAAACCATCGTTAATTAATAAATTTTAGCACAGTCGAAATGAGGCATTTCGGGCTATCCAGCCATTTATAGATCTCAAAATCGTTATATCGCCAAAATTTGTTTTTTTTACGAGGAGACTTCTACTAAAACCTATCGTTGTCAAAAAAACTGGTCTTTCCCTTCAGCCACACGGTGTTAAATTGCTTTATGAACTCAGTCTAGCTGATGATTTAAATAAAATTGGTGCACAAACAAGAGCTTTAGGATTCTATTAAAGAGACGGATAATTAATTCATGCCGAATCTCGAGGTCTTGAAGCCGGATATAAATGGCCTCAATATTCTGTACATCGTGGTGAACTTCAGTTGTTACTATACAATCATGTAGTAGAAAAAAATTGGAAAATCAGCTGTTATACTCGGACACAAAGTTATTGCTTTTGAATCTTTTCCAGAACATGTTAACGTTAAATTGTTGGTTCAGAGTAGTAACGAAGTAGTAAAGAAGAATGCTAAATTATTGATTGGTGCTGTGATATAAATTCAACTATATGAAATATTTTATATCCTGATGAAGGTCCACCTATTTGGAGTGATATAGCAGTGCGGCGTGGAGTTAAACATGCCACTAAAATGTATTTAGATGGTGGAACAATGTTATTGATAGGTAATCCAAATCGACGACTAGGAATTATTTATCCAGTTAGTCGAAACTCAGTTAGTTGGGTTTGTGCTGTCCGTGTAGACCAACCACGATCAAAATTATATGAAACTGCAGATTGGAATCATATAGGAAGGATTCAGGATGTATTACCCCCTATTCGAAGAAATAAAATTTGATTGTTTGGATATATCAGATATGATTAAAAGGACGAAAAAGGTATGGAAACTGCCTATAACAGATCGAGATCTACTTCCTAAATGGACCCATGATCGCGTTACTTTGCTTTGAGACGCTGCACACCCCATGTATCCTATTGGGGAAAATGGTGCCTCGCAAGTTATACTACGGATCATCCACCAAGTGTGTTCGGCTTCTCACATGGAAAAAATAGTTAAGGATTGTCACGTCTGCACAATTCTTGTATAAATTTTAATCTTTTTAAAATTTTTCGCTATGCTCGATGAAGTTTTGAGACAACGCGTTTATCGCAAATAGATAGAATAAAATTCACGTTAATGAAGCTATAGGAAAAAAGATAAAGTGAGTGAAAAATGTTATTTGAGAAATATATCTGAGCAGGTTGTCTAATGTATATAGCCTAACTAGTTTCCGAACATCCTTTATCGAATGATCCCTTAGATGCCAAAGTTTTAACACAGTGCTTTGGAACATATGGTGCAACAATAAAAGTACTCGAAGAATACGATGATATTCGTCGTCATGCAACTGCTACAGTAGTTCATGCAAACCGTCAAGAAGGATCTGAAATACTTTTGCAAATTGTCGACGAACATTCACCAAATAGTTTTGAAAATTTATATGATATACTTTCGAAAGAGACAATAGACGATCTATTAATCAAATACAAACGTCTAGCGGGCTTTGATCCGAACGAACCGAATAATGAATCAAATTTATTTGCTGAAAGTGCAAAATGTAAGGCGGAAACTGCGTAATGACAACAAAAGAGAAACCTCATTATTAGCCAGAATATTCATCGTACGTGCCTTCACTGATATACTACTACAATATATATATTTTTTCTACGCTTCAAAGTTGCAGTTTAGATATGTGTTTGGGGATCATAAAAGGTTAATATAAGCTTTATTTATTCAAGAAAAGAATGGAAACAAGTTTAAATATTTAAAGGGAACAAAAAGAAAAAACAAAAATATAACTTTGAAAATCTATCAAAACTAATCCTAACAATTCATGTTCGAAAATATTTACTACTTATAAATTGTACTTCTTCATCTGAAACTTTAAAAACATTTTAGCGCTTTTAGAATTCCATTTCGAAGCTGAGCAGTCATTCGGCTGAACAGTGATCTCACCTGTTGAACTGTGAGATATTCACAGATCAAAAACACTTTTTTACTCTTTTCGATAGCGTAACGCATAAGATCTACCGCTTTCATTGAGAATACTTTCACACCTGTACTTTCTTCGGACATGCATAAACCATATAAAAAAATCTTCTGTTTGTAACAAAGCCGCACAATGTTTCGAATCGGTAAGGCCCAACCCTCAAAATCAACCTTTTTTCCAAATTCCGTATTAGTTAGTTCAGATTGACGAACGACCTTCGGAGTTGTAGTTGATGTGGTAGTCGCCGAAGAAGCTCTTAGTCTGTCCGCACAGAAACGACGTACTTTATCCATAGAAGATTCTACTTCGGATCGATGATGAACATCGACCGCCATATGATTCTTAAATTCCTGTATTGAGGAAAAAAGTGTTCGAACGCCATGGATATAAACAAAAAAGTAGAGGCTGGTATGTACGTGACAGGCGGGCGAGTGCCTGTGGTGGATATCGGTTTCGCAGCGGTCATCTCCTTTATTACTTCTATCCCCGAGTGAAATTCTAGTTTAGAATAAGAAACAACCACTCCTGGCTCTATTCCATAATACTACCAAAAACGCATCCCCGTTTTCTCGAACTCTACAGAGTGGTAGAAACTAATATTTTTAATTGTCGATCCCGTCATCTTTTGTTGCGTTTTGTTTATCGCAACTGCACTAGATGCAGAATTTCGAATTCCGCCCATGTACATATGAGCTTCAAATAGCTCTTCAACAGAAGTAACGTTATGACCATCATCCATACAGGTACGAATTCTGTTTTTCAAATTTGCTGACTCACGATCACATTGATCTTTTCCTCGTTGAGGCTCATTGTAATCATGCCGAAGAAGTTCAATACCCAGTGATTTACATATCGAATGACTAAGTTCAGCATACGAGTTGCCTGCATAACAACCGTCGTTATTAGATTTAACGTACAGTTTTCTTATGTGTGGATTATCAGGATGAAACTGTTTCAGTACATGCTCGAAGATGGCTAGGGTATCAGCAGTGGATTGGTCAGATTGAGTGAGCATAGTAAAATAAACATGTTTGATGATATTATGGTTCGAATCTTTTGTGAAAAATACGTCTATATGCTCTGAAAAACCTCGTTTGCCAAAATAATCTTTCTGAGGCTCTCGAAATTGCATGGGCAATATTTTTTGACTCCAATCTCTTATACAAAAGTCAGTGTCATTATCAAGCTTCTCCATAGCATCAGATTTTGCTCGCCTCTGTTGCACGTCACGAATCAAATGTTTCATCCACATCAAGATAGAACTAGCACTAATACTAAAATCATACAATAGTTCAGCAACTAAAGGATTTTCTGCCACTTTTTTAGTCAGCTTTTCGATACTCTCTAGTGAACTGAACAGCAGATGACAATCGGAACAAATATTCGTAGGTTTATGATCATACTTAATCGCTTTAATCCACTTGAAGTAATCCATAGCGGGAAATAAAATTTAGAAAATGTTCAACTTTTGACTGATCTATGAAATTCTATGTGAATGCGGAGCAACATACAATAGCGAAACAAAAATCGGATTTGGAGCTCCAATGAAAAAGCACGACAGAATTATTGAAAAGATGAACTCAATTCAAATTCAGATATGGTTCATCGTCATATAAAAATGAAATATCAGTGCATGTTTAAGTCAGCAAATGCGTTCATTATTGGCTATGAAATTAATCCAACAAAAAGAAAAAGAAAAGAAGCAATATATTCATCAATAAATAATTCAATCAATCGTCAAATGATATTAATAAACCATGGCTGTCAATATTATATTCATCAAAAGCAAGAATAAAACAGAGTATTCAACAACAACACAATACAATAAGCATTCGAATATACCCGATATCAGTATCATTAATGGCAAGACGGTGATATTGGACTGGAAGAAGAAGACTTATAAGTCGCTCGTCCACTATTACCGTCCTGTTCGCTCCATTATCAATTAAAAAGATAAACAGTTTACCAAAATTCTATCTATATATATTTCGTGTTCTTAAATGTACATCGCCTTTTTCTGATGAAGACAACGTCGAAACGTTAAATGATCTTTTGTGAAATAAAAGAAGGGAGAGAAATTCAAAATTAAGTTGAGATTAAGTATGACAACTTGTACTGGAAGAAAGTATTTGTCAGCACAATTACTGAAAGACTATCATATGATCCACCTTCTGATAATGGAATAGTCTTTCTTGTAGAAAATTAAACTTCTTTATTTCCTCTCACGTCGTTTTTTGTACGCAGTATATGAGCCGTAAGATTTTTCTAAATCTTCATCAATGATGTAGAACAAAAATCCTAGCTCGCTGTGGTTCGCAGTGTGAGAATAGTCTATGTAAGAATTGTTTCGCTTACCAAAATAAGTTGCTGGATCGTTTATTGATGTTGAAATAGAACCTGGTTTTGTTTTGAGTATAAATATGTCTTTTGCGTTTCTCTTTATATACCACGGAGACTAAATTTTTTCGATATTAGTTATCGTGAATGATGCACTAGTATTGATGATATAATGAAAATTTCAAAGAAACAACTACTTGTCTTTATGATGTATTGAAAAGAAATGTCCTTTTTGTGTTTTCCGTCACAGCTTGTAGCTTCCTTTTATATCTTTTCCACAGTGTGTCGTGCCCTTTATTAACAAACCATTATCTGTTGTGTCCTATAGGACATTTTCTCTATCATATATGGTAGAGGAACAGAGAATGGTACCAATTTCATCTTATATCTTTGCATTACACAGAATGCATTACAACAGCCTAAACGAAAAGATATAAAAATGTTATTTAAGTATATATGTACGACCATGGCTTATGCTTTTCTATATCAATACAGAATAAGAATAATCCAGACCTTTTCGGTAAAAATATTCTAAAGAGACATAGTAAAAAACGACAAGAACACACTGACGATATAATTTCGTACATTGTGTTATTGTAACAAAATTTTGTTGCATAACACAATATTAATATTAAACAGAATAAGCCAATAAAAGTCTATTCACATATAGTGTGATATTCCCACCCAAAAGAAATTGATTCCCAATTGTGAGTCGAAAACATCTATGAAAAATAAATCTGAACTGAGTTTAAAAAACGGAGCGTTTAACGTGAAAAATGTTTCAGTATAGTAAAAGATATCGTGTGAACGTCTAGAACAAGCAGGTGTGAAAAAGATCAAAGTTTTGCAAGAAATATAGACCGAAAATTCCAGTTAGCGTGAAAAGTGAGCGTTTTCACGTCGCATTCTTTTTTTCGTTACTGACTCACAATCGGGAACCTCGATTGACATCCGAACACGTCCGAAAAATTTTACGTGTTTGCACGCATTTTTTTATTTTTTTGTCTGCTTGGGTAAGAGGAAGAAATCCTTCCTTTTTTAAGTCTTTCACGAACAGTAAGTTAGTACTCTTTTCAGTAATAACGTTTCTTTTGGTTGTGCAAATTCTTTTATTCCTTAAATTCCATGTTCTTCGTTGTTTAAACAATTAGCACCTTCTGGTGTATGCTAATAACAATAACAGTATGTGGAAACATATAGGAGAAGCTTCTAAGCTCTGATTTAGTGCAACATAATGAGGAGTCGTTGATTACTCATTATAAATACTCTCGATTTAAGAGTAAACATCAACATATTTTCTTTTCTTCGTTTATAAGAAAATCTCCTACAACTTGTGTTTTGAAAGCATTGTATTCTTCGTGCTCTCTTCACTAACTGGCTCCCAACTCCCACGGTATAAACGCTTCACTCTTCGTAACAGAACGCCTTTATCAGCTGAGTTTACTCCAAAGTCAAAATTTGAGGTTCAGGTTTTCAATCAGTTTCTGAGGTCATGACGATGGATCAGTACTTTTTACTCTTAAATCTAAAGAAATTTATATTATAGCGCAGACGAAAACTACAGTTTAATGGAAACAATTAAAATCGGTATAGCGTATTCGAAAAGGCACAGAAACAGGTTTCGAAATAATTTAATTGATTTTCACATGTAAGTGTCTGCGAGTTAGCATAGAAATCAATTCAGAAAATGAAAAATACGTTTAGTTTTATTGCAGAAACTATAGCAGAAAACTTGAGCGCAAGAGCTGTTTGCAACTAAAATGTTTTGTATGCCATAGCTTACGTATTATTAGACAAATCAGATATTTACTCTCATTTTTGAAATTTTCGATTTACTCCTAAATCGCAAGGCCTCTCCTTGTTTTCTCTACTTCGCGGCATCTCTGTACTCAGTATTCTATACCAGTCAAAAAAGGTTGTATAATTTGTGGAGAATTATTTAAAACAGGTGATGAAGTTTTAACATCCGAATATTTTCATGTAAAAATTCTGTGCATGTTCGCTATTTAGGAATAGTCGACATTCGTGCAAAGGCTTTAGATTGCCTTATATATCATTGCAATATTCATCTGTGGGTTTCTATCCATACTTTTATCAAATAAAACAAAAGAATTTTACCTTTTTGTATAAATGTTCCTATAGCTAAATATTCGGACTGATCTGAAAGGAAACCACATCAAAGTTTGATGGTTTTTTCTAGACTATGGTACCTCGGGACTTTTATATCTTCAGAATCAGCACGACGGGTTACGTTGTACGGCCAAAGATGTCATTGGAACCCCCATACGTTTTTTGGACCGATCGCTCCGTTGGAGGTTTTCACGATATATTACACTATATTTAACGATACACATCAAACACACTGCATTCACTTTTCTTTCCTTTGATCTTATTTTTCTTCCATCCCATGTTTTTTTCGTATGTGCTCGTATATATGTGCATAGCGCTTTATTTCTCTTTATAGAAAAGAACAAACTTTCTCTTTTAATCTATATACTCATTTATTCGACGTCCAAAAGAAGCAATACTCATCCGATATTCTGCCAACTTCTCAGATCAAACTTATACTAGTTTGAAGTATACAAATTGTACTATATACTGATGTATTTTCTAGAAAAAGACCCTTTTTAGTTTTTGAGATATGTGGTTCTCAATTAGGCATGCAACAATCCCAAACCAGGGCTTGCTGATGGGCACCGAATGGTTTGTTACCGATCCATCCCATGTTTTTTTCGTATGTGCTCGTATATATGTGCACAGCGCTTTATTTCTCTTTATAGAAAAGAACAAACTTTCTCTTTTAATCTAGAGTGCCTTGGGGTAATTATGGTCCGCTCCTCAAAATTTCGTTGTATTTCTCCTGTAGTTCGCCCAATTTTTATCCGAGAAAAGCGATATTTTACAGGTAAATAGAAGTGACTCCTGGCTATCAATTGATGTAAAAATTTTCTTAAAATTCATTAGCGTTAATTAGTACTAAAATTCATTAGCGTTAATTTCCAGAGAGCACCTTTCGATTGACCATAATTATCCCATTTGGGGTAATTATGGGCAATACAGCAAAAATGGCTGCGATCATGTTAAGTTAACTTAGTTTCAACGCGGAATTTTAAGGTAAATAATTAAAAATTATATCATCTTGTAGAGAATTACAAGCTTATCACCTGAATGAATTGCATGCTATTTGTGCTTGCCGTTAATTAATTAATTAGAAACTACGAGAATGCGTGTTTTTCGAAAAAAGGTCACTTGGGGTAATTATGATCACTCAGTTATTTTTCATGGGGTAATTATGGTCAGTCCGTGTAATTTGCACGGGAAAGTCAGAGTTTAAATCGCACCGACTTACAGAGACCGATTTTACATCAATGACAAATAGAGAAATTATAGAGGAGATTGTTCTCTATTATATGAAGTGAAAATTGGAACAAGATCGCTTGGTTCTAGCGATTTGTAGCCGTCTGATGAGTTTTGCTGAATTTTAGCACATTTTTGTACCTGATTTTTGACAGTC